TCAGCTCTGAGGTTGTTATCAGTCTGAACATGTCTCATGCCACCTTACGTGATTATTTTCAACAGATTAAAATGTGCAGAAACACCCAGGGCTCAAAGTACATCCTCTTTTTTTGATTTTTGTTTTTGATGCAGACCAGCTCTGTTTGTTAAATATTGCACAATTAGATATGATCACCTTCATGAAGTGTGTATTGAGTTTTTTCTTTATTAGATAATCATAAAGTAGTTTCAACCATTTTAAAATCGATTGTTTTACTCCAGTTATGTGTGATTGTGAGGCAAGTCTCTCACACAGAATATTAATGAGAGCGCTCCAAATGAGTCACTTATGAGGTTCCATGATGACTAGAATGCTGCATTTGAAGGCAGGCGCCTATGTAGGTAGCAAGATGGTGTTGTGAAAAATGAGATTTTCTTGTAAATAAGGTCTCAGTCAACTAGTTGTACTAAGAATACACTAATTGCATTAATTAAAAATATGTATAATGTCATTTCTTACTATATCATGCAGTTTCATTTGTTAAAATGTTAGGGATATGATGGTACATGAAAATTATGCTTGTTACGTATACTCTAGTGTGAAGGCGCACGACTCGCTGTCGCTTTCTCTCGCACGCGCAAAGAGCGAGAGAGTCTTACATAACATGCAGCATTGATGCGCTACATGTAAACGATATACTTTGTTGTATTTTCCTGTAAAAATTCCTTTTGGAATTCTTCAGCTTTTAAGAACTGCCGGGTTTTCCTGTAGTAGGCAGAACTAATGCGCAAATGACAATCTCATTGGCTGGTGCTCACCTATTATCGTCCCTGTTTTGATTTCAGCTAATCGGTTCGAGGTTCGAGCAAACGCACACAACCTGATTAATATTCATGAATCCAGTTGCTCATTAATCCTTAGTGCGTTTTTATATTATTCTTATTAGTAGAATTCGTATAATAACAATAATAATAATATCTTATCAGTATTATTGTTTTTTTTTTTTTACAGGAACACTAAATTACCAAAAAAAGCACCAGTCCTAATTAAGTTCATGGTTACCAAGTTTTAATTCTAATTACTAAACTTCTATTATTAAATAATACTTGATTATCATATTATAATGCTTGACTGCTTGACTGACTGATATTAAGAGTGTACTTTCAGATATTTAAAAAGCTGTACCATTTTACAAACATTATATATGTTTGTAAAATGGCAT